GTTTCATTTTCCCATGACTGTTGTGCTGTTTCAAAGAATCTGATCTTTTTCATTTAATCGCTTCGTGAGTTTAAATCAAATACATAGGATGGGCCAATCAGGAGGGTGATAAATCGCAAAGGGCAGTCCACCTTAACTTTTCCAAGGTGTCTGATTTTCACTGTCTTCGTAATCCACGATTTCTTCTCTTTTTGATCCAGTTTGAGTTAAGGGACTCTGAAAATTACCATAGTCAATTAAAATCACGACTGCCAAAATGCAGAAACGTGACCTTGCCCGTGTTTCCATTAGAAGACAGACGTACTATTCATAACCTAATATACACAGTCATAACCACTGTAAAGAGATCTAAAGAGCCACTACCGTAGATAAAGGTTAACCCTCTTGACTTGTCCATTGGGTTGTGTGCCGATTTACTCATTAATGGGATATGTGGATCTGTTTATGAACTGTTTTACTACAGCTGATTATTTGTTTCTTTGGTTATCATAGTCAATCAAAATCACTACTGCCTAAAATACAGAAACGTGACATTGCCCGTGTTTCTATTAGAAGACAGACGTACTATTCATAACCTAATATACATAGACATAACCACTGTAAAGAGATCTGAAAAGCCACTGCCGTGGACAAAAGTTAACCTTCTTGACTTGTCCATTGGGTTGTGTGCCGATTTACTCATTAATGGGATGTGTGGATCTGTTTCTAAACTTTTTTACTACAGCTGATTCTTTGTTTCTTTGTTTTTTTTGCTTTTTTGACTGGGAAAAACTGGTTTTCTTACAGTGCACAGTTGCTATAACAACTATCTGAACAACTAACGAACATAAAACCCTTAGGCTGAGTTGAATTAAGTCAGACTCTTAAATGACTTCGAGAGTACGCTTAAACACGCAAGCGGCGTATTCTTTGAAGCCGCAAACAAAAGACTGCTAGCGGTCTAGATATTTCAATGGATTTAGTGGAATGCTACCCAAATTCCTTGTTGCATTTCTAGCCAAAATATTTTGTTTGTTTATGATATGTTTTAACAGATATTGACAAAAGACAGTAAAAAAACATTATTAGTATAGTTTGTATTGATTAACTTAAGGAAAGCAGTTCAATGGATAAGAGCGATGCTGGCTTTCTAATACAATTACACAAAGAAGTTAAGAAAATAAATTGTAAACAACACAGTCACATTGAATGGTCTTATTGTGAGTCTTTGTTCTATATAGAGAGTTTAAAATCTCTGAAATGATGCATTGGAGATCACTCACATTATCCATTCGTTTGAACATAAGAATCCGCTTTATCATGTTCAAGAAATCATAATTTAATGCTCAAATTGAAGTTTTCAAGTCAGTTCAATCTGTGTCAAAACCATGAGTCTTTCTATTATTGTCCCTCTTAGCTTTCCACATATTCATGCTTGAGCTGTCCGCTGCAGTGACAGTCTGGGAACGTCTGACCATTTCTTCTGACTCATGGCGGTCGTTGCTGGAAAGTCCACAATACTTTGAAAATCTTTTAAAACTGAAACCTTAATGTTAAGCCGATTTACACGTTAAGAGTTTCTATTAATTAAGTGCAAAGCAAAATTGAAAAATCGGGTTAATTGACTTAATCGAAGCGTAACAGGAACTGGTTTTAGGAACTCAGGGATGCAGCATTTATCGTGTCATGCGTAAGTGGAGTGTGATCCGCCCGTTGCAGGTGAGTGTAGTCACAGCCTCCTACCCCCCACACACGCTCATTTTTCATCATTTTTGTCACAATTTGACACTACGAGCATAATTTTTATCTGTTTTCTGAAAAAGACACTGCTAGTATAATTTGCACTTCTGGCTAGTTTTGCAGCAGAAAATTGTCATTTTTCGATCGTGCAACCAATGTTTTAGCCCGAGATCAGTGTTACAGGCAAATTTAAGTAACAAAGTCACTTTATGTCTGCTTATTGTCATATTGTCAGATTCATTTTACCTACTTCCTCTGAAAGTGACCTGGGATTGTTTGCACAGGACTCAACGTTTGCATATAATTAACTAGCTCGGTTAACCAAACAATTTTGTTGTTTTACTGGCTTATTTTTTTGTATAATACATTCATTTGTCCCTGCACATACTTTGCAAGAGAGTGACAGCCAGGGAATTTATAATGAATTACGCACTCGTAAAGTTTCTTGATGTAAATAGCCCAATAGGGTAAATGAGTTTGCCCTTTAAATGGGTCTTACTGCATTTACTTGTTTGTTGCACTGAACGGTTAAACCAATCGACTTCAGAACTCATTTAATAAATTCGTCAATCGCCATGGTTTTATCGTCGAGAAGTATGGTGCAGCCCTTCGGGAGATGAGATTAGCAATCCAGGCTTAAGTTGCACCATCGTATCCTTACATTGCGTATTTATTACTTGGATTTTTATTTCAGTTGTATATTGGTACGTGTGCGCGCGCACAATTTAATTTTGGGCGCGTGCATTATTTATTTAAGTTGCGTGTACATTTAGTTCGTTTAATAACGTCTTAGTTTTGCTTTGCGTTATTTTCCTCACTTATATGTGTTGTCCGCGACTGTGCTCACACGGTGGGTGGCTCCTCCTAAAATGTTCTGCAGTTGGTATAGGATTTCATGGAGCCGAAACCAATTGTGGAATTGCACGCATTTTAGGCATCCTACTGATGAACAGTTGGGACACGTAGATATACTTTTTAGCAACTACTATAATTTGCAGTCTGTCTACTTTGAATTTGAAGAGAGGTGATTTACCAGTTTTAAAGTAAAACGTAGAAGCAAAATTTCAGCATTATTTTGTTAAAATGAGCATAATTTTTAAAAAACGAGCATAATTTTAAGCATGATTTTGAAAAAAAAAATCGGACATTGCTAGCAGCATATGTATGCTACTTTTACTAGCATAAGGGTCTTTTCTCGACTTAGAGCAACCATACTGCAATAATAGTGCATGAGTAACAGGTTGTGCAAAGCGAAAATTGATTGCCCGCTGACAAGTCGTAGAGTATAAATTGCGCGCCTTTTTTACCTCACAGTGAGTGATAAACTTTGTTGTTAAGGTACTTTTTGTTTATTAGGTGGATAAACCTTGCACAATAGTAAGTAACATAATTTTTCGCGATTTACCAAATTATTGCAAACCATACAATAAATTTTAAGTTGAGTACAGTCCATCCGGAAATCACTGAAGAGAAAGTAGAAAACAAGTGGAACAAGTTTACAGTCGACTCTCTCTTAACGGAGACCTCAGTTAAACCGACATTTAGAGATGGTCCCTGCCTTTCTTTTCTCCCTTTATTTGACTCTCTATAAGGCAGACATTACTCTTAGACAGACACCAATCGGTCCCAAAGGTGTCCGTCTTAGAGAGAGTTGATCGTAAACCCAAATTTTCGCACTTTGGTAGCACAAAAAAGGGGAGTGCGAAATGCGAATGACTGGTGACGAGACTAGGCGCAAAGGACCGTGGAAAGGAGAAAAAAGTGAGGCATAACGCCCTCTCGCCCGTTTTTTCCTTCCTGCCCTCCATCTAGCTACCATCTTGATTTCAGATGTACTGAGGGTGCGTGCGTCGTCCTCTTAGTATACACTTGATACTCCTCCACAGGATCGACTCGGTATATTTGAAACCAAGATGGCCCCCGTAACTATAAGCCCTCTATTTGGACGAACTTACGGAATTGGGAACTGTGAACTGCCAATTAACAAGCAAGCGAACGAAGCATGGAAGAGATGCTTACGTGCAATAAGGCTTTATTCACTCCTACGTGTAATAGTTATTTAACACTAAGCAGCGAGCTCCAATATACGACACCCCACTACCTTAAGAGCCCATAGCTGATGGCTAACCCAAAAAGGACAGCATATCGCTTGAAGACCAGTACATTTAGTTATAAACATAAAAAACCTTGTATCTTTTCCTTAGAAAGCCTTTGAAAGTGGAAAGCGATCATTGCTAAATTTACGCCAAACTATTTAATAGCAGGAAAGGGTTACGATATACAAAACCAAAAATAAAAAAGCTAATTACTAATATGAAGAAATTATTAAAAAAGCCGGGGATTATAGAGAGATGAAGATTCATGTTTACGACAAACGGCAAACGTCAGATATGAGTTGAGAATTTCTCAGGATAGAAAATAAGCAGATAAAAACTGTCCAGAACAATTCTAATGGATAAAACTGGCGTGAAACTACTTATTTTTGAGTAGAAGTAATAAACAGTATACGACCATTAAGGGAAAAACTTGGTCACGAGGTACAAATTCACGTTTCCCGTTTGGCGTAAACGTGAATCTTAATGTGCCTAATTTCTCGTAATCTCGTTACACCGGGTTACAACGCTATGTGAGACCATCATGCAAGGAGGTCTAAAAATAGCAAGGCAAGCAAGGAATTGAAACAAATATAGGATCTCTTAAGTCATAATCTCTTAATAAAATGCAATGCTATATGAATTTAAAAAAGCATAAAAACGCTCCAGTTTGAAAGACGCTTAAGTTTAACCTAAAAGAAACACTTGTAGAAAAAAACCTAATATGAAAGTGCAAATTAAACTCTCCTTACCAACCATTCCACTGGGAAATGACGAGGGCATTTTATGTCATACTTTTTGTCATGAATGGAAAATTAACAAGTTGATCATTCATGGAAGGGAATACTCTCTTATGTTACTTCATGGAGCATGGTTTGTGAGTCCGTCAACCTGGAATGTGGTGTAGAAATTACAGAGTTTCACATTTATGAAATTTCATGTGTTGCGCACTTTCATATTTTCATCTCAGTTCCACGAGTACATAATTTTAACGAATTCACAAAGTTAAGTACTGGAAAATAAAGTCTAGCAAGAATAGATTTGCAAAATTCCTGCTGAATATATAGCCTAGTGTAGCAAAGAAGTGTCCGAGATCCACCTGCACAGCTCCCAAACTGTACAGAGAGACATTATTCCCCCCCCCCGCCCGCCGCCTCCTTAGGCAGAGAACCTGGTCTTGCAGATCATTCAGTGGCAGAAAACTTCTCCCAGGAAGAGCACCAACATCAAAAGGACATTGGATATTTTGAGAGCAACGCTTGCAGCTTCGGTTGGGACAGGAACAGCGGTAGTAGTCGGAGGTGTCTGGGTCGAACTGAAGCTAGATTTCACTTTACGGCTGCCAAGGTTCTGAACTGGGCGGTAATTGTCGACAATGTTCATGGTGCTGTTCATCTTTAAGGATCGCAGCGCATCCAGCTGTAAACAGGAAAAAAAGAAGATGATTTCGTTTCTCCTTCTTATACGTCGAAGGTGACACCAAGACACGAGGGTTATAATGTATGTACACCTGTACATATTCCAGGGAATGCCGCAAGGACAATTATATGTCGCAAGTAGAGCGTGCCGCAAGGGCAAAAGGAGGCCATAATAATTAGTTTGTACGTGTGGTTGTGCAACATGTCGGTTCCTATGATGGAGGTAATAGTTGAGCAAATCAGAGACAAGGATCAAATTCATTGTTTTTGGCACTGGAGTCTGGGGAAAACGATGTTTAACGTTGAGCAATAATACAAATCCTAAAGAAAAATATCTCGCAAGTATGCCGCATAAGAGAGCTGGTAACAAGAACTGCGTCATTCCAAGGGCAGAAAATGGGATAAGAGGACTAAGTTCAGGTTTATTACTAATGATTGTATATTGGAGACCATGCAAATGCAGACCAAAATTGTGGATCGCCTACTTATTTAAAGAAACAATAACATCCGCAAAAAGTCCAAAACGTAACCCAAAATGAAGAAGCTCTTAGTAATCGTAGGAACGTTTTCTGCTAATACACAAAAAGGCCTACCTAATATTATTTCGTAAATTTCTAACTATCATCACCATCATCGTCATCGTCATCATCCACCACCACCACCACCACCGCCACTCACAGTGTCTCAAATATCGTTAGCATTGACGACAAATTAATTTCAATTTTACCTGAGCCTGTGATACCTTGACAGGATCGTTGAAAACAGTCCAGGTAACAGCTTCATTGCAGTCTGGCGTTGTTAGCGAACCATTGTACCGATAGTACTTGGTCTTGTCGGTTGGAAGGAGGCTTAGAAGAGGAAAGGCTGGAAATATCACACTCTCGTCTGTGTATCAAAAGTTGAAGTAGTAAATAGCATTTCAATATTTTTTAAAATAATGTGCAGGACACTAATGTTTTACATTATGGGTGTTTTGATATTAAAAAACAGCAGTGCCAACCATACTAAGGTTGGGCACTAAGGGCTAGCTTTAGATGCTATTTCTGAAAAGCGAATTACGCCACACAAGTGTGTTAGAGCTCCCAATATATAGAAAAGACAACGGTGATATACAGTATATAATATAATTTAAATACCTAAAACTGTAAGTCATGCATACTGAGAAAGTACTATATATATGTGTAACAAACAGCTGACAATTGTACATCTGCATTTTCTTCCAACCACGGTGGGCGTTTTAAACGCTGTGGTCAAACTTTAAATCTAACACATAGCAGGGAGACAGGGTTCTTCCAACTTACCTTTGTTCATCACAGAGTTGATATGATCCAGGAACAAGTTATAATGCGAATTGTTACTTGAACCAAGCTATAATTTATAAACAATAACAAAAATAAAACAATGAAATATTTAGTTCCTTGATTTCACTTTCACACCTTCTGGCAGATTTTTTTCTCAGCCGGTTCCTCTATATCATGGATATTTCTTTTGTCAATGGTGTTCAAGGCATTTTCGTACCAACTTGATAATGTGAACACTCGGGGATACCGGCCATTTTTCGTGGTGATACAAAAAAGCTCCGCCTAGGAAGATAGGTTAGCTATGGTATGGGCTCCTTTGCGCCAAAAGTACGGAAACAAAGTTAGAAAAAACCCACATTTTCAGTTATTTTCCGTCACTGATACTATGACTGAAATCAAACGGTACCATACGAAAGTAGTAGGGAGGTTAAGATGTCACTCGGCGACAGCAACGAAAACGTCAAAAAAGCAATAGGTTTAGATTAGCAAAACAACAACTCAGAACGTACACCAAGCTTTTTTGTACATTTCCTTGCCGTCAAGCACGATCGACAACGTGAACATGCGACGACACATTTCTCTTTCCATCCCCAACTATCCCTTACACAAATTGGATTTGTATGCGCGAGCCAACATGCGCAGAAAGTTATCACCTTGTCGATGTTTGGCAGGCGTCACTGTCACTCCTGGCGGAATCAGGCTCCCAAGATCTTATCCCCGTTCCCTCTCCCCATTCTCCCACTGGTTCTCTAAAAGAGGACAGTGAAGCCCACACAGGAGGCTAATATCGCGTTTAGAAGAGGTTTCATAGTTGAACGGTCACATCAACGGATTTCATCCGCAGTCTCGAACCTTTAATAAAACAATACCATATATTAAAGTACTGCTTCGGAGGTCCCATTTGAATGTTCGCACCCGTTAGCATGCACAGACTAAAAAAACTTTTGGTGAACATTTCACAGTGGGGGAGTAAAAGGGTTTTATGAAGAGGCAAACATGCGTTACCTTAAGGAAAACACCCAGCACGGCCAAACCATCTGAATAACCTAGCGACTCACTGAGGTTGGAATATTTGGTGTTCATGCTGACGAAATGGATCTAACAATTGAAAACAGAATTTAAGTCATTATAAGTAACGTTTAAAACACGAACAGCAATGTTTTTAAATCATTGGTTGAACAGCATTCGCGCGCGAAGTGTGCTATGAGTGTTTTGAACAGCTTCAAAAGCGTCCCCAGAGTATTTCCTTTCAATAGAAATAATAAATAAATTTAAATAATAAATTTCCCTTTATTAAAAAAACTTTTTGTTTGAAAAATGTCAAACAAAAGCAGCCGAAATAACAAAAGCAGGTGATAGATAAAGTTATGCAAATACACTATGCAACTGAAGTTGCTACACAGTTTCAGGGTCTATAAATGCCTACGTTAAACGGCTAGTATCCAAGTAAAAAACATTTTCACAGTTGATAACTGCACATGAGGGAAAACACGCTGGAGCAGAGAATTACAAACTGGTAAGAATTTAAGTAATTCGTGACTCATTTCACCAACTCATTCTTGAAACGGTTACAGTCGTATCTTGATACAGACTAGTTTGGTGTATTGTCTTTATAGAATACGATCTCACCGGTCGACGGTTTGTTGTTCAGTTTAGGATGAACTTTTTTCTGTCTTCGGTAGATATTTTGTTAAATTTTTGATCAAAAATTAAATTGCGAATTAGGAGAGCCGTTTCATCGAGCTTTTTCACATTACCTCACGGTAGGTCCGCCATATTGTTGTCCGGGGGGATTAAAACTTAAGGTAACCTAAAAACACTTTTAACTCATCAAACACCGGGGGGGGGAAATGGGGTGGGGGCACTCACCAAAAGACCTTGATGTCCAACACATTACCCTTATCTACCATTTTTGACAGACAGGCACTCCTTTCGTGACAAATGGTACTTCTTTCCTAAGTTTAGGAATCTGTATACTTTTAGGCGCCAGCCATGAAGTTTTTTTGACTTTTTCGCAGCCATAAAATGAGTCATTAAAACGTTTTGAGATGTTTTACAGTACAAAATGAGAGATTTCCCTACCCTTTCACTTATTTCATATACGGGAATCCTGAAAAAAGGTACGGGGGGAGCCTCCCAGTAAAGACCATCATTGGGACTACCTCCTCTGGGGAGGTAACACCATAGTTTATGTTACACAGAGTACATTTGAAGTAAAAGTTCACCGTAAACTCTAAAAATGGACAATGACACCACACTGTAAATCTCACTAAAAAAACGCACCTCAGCGGGAAATTTATTCCCGCTCAGGGTATGTTCCGACAATAGGATCACTTTGGTTAATTCTTATTCAACTCGTGTAATTGGCTTAAATAATCCGGCGCCGTTTACTCAACAAAGGCTGAGCGAAGCAAAACCCAATTGCGAATTTTAGCACGTAGAAGCGTTTTTCCTGGCTATCGTTTCAGCTTTTACCAAGGTAATTACCTTCATCATACAAAGCTTAACGCTGCCACATATAGCATCGAACATAACGCACCTCGGCAGGATACATCATCCCGTCCATAGTGTGTTCCGATCCCCGGCTGTTGTTTGATCCCCAGTGCAGGTGAAGCTGAACGGTGGTGTAAACTCCGGGGAGGCCACCTCCGCTTACGTTGTATATATGGCTGTCCATTGATACTTTCAAGGATTTACCACTGTTTTTAGCGGTAAAATTGACACCAGCTAGTGTAGTGCCGTAGTTGACAAGTGTAAAATCACCCAGGCTTGAGTCATACATGGCTGTGGTGGTGTTGATGTTTATAGGCGACTGTTTACTCCCAGAACCGCAACTACCACCCCAACTGTTAGGTCCTAGAGAAAAATTACGAGGGCAATGTAATGCAAGAAGCGCAAAGAGATTAAAAATGAATCGAAAAAATAATGACGATAATGAAGTCTTCAACCCACCATTGGACTTAATTATTTTATGTGTAGTGCTCTTTAACTGGGTGTTTGTCCTTGCAATCTAGTTTGTTTTAAAATATTCCAACATCCACCACCTATATACCGCGCAATGAAATGATCAAATGATTTACAATCAACACGCCTGACCAACCGTTGAATCGTATATTCCACTTATCACAGCGAAACAGTGAAGCACGATGTGATGGAGTCGACATATTGCAGTTAAAGTTTTTTGGCTTTGCGTACGAAAACTTCATGACAACGTTATTTTTCCAGAGAAGGAAAATAATCTTTTCATTAAACATCAGTACGCACTCAAAACCAGTCTCGTAAGCGACCACCTCGGGATTTCATGAATGAGTGGTCGTGGACTCTCGTAAAATTATTGAACGTGGTCGCGTTCGACCAGGGTTCTTCTACGTTGCACTTATCTAAATTTCAGAACTCTAGAACAAGAAAAAATGAAAACATACCATCCGCTGCATTTAAATCATAGCTCCAACCTAGGAAAACAATAGGTGTTACCGTCAGCTTAACGAAAAAATGATCAAACCAAAACAAGAACACAACACAACAGCTCTGCACGTGTATCATGATTTTTTGTAAATTTCCTTGCCGCTGCTGCAGATGTACAACGTGAATTGAGTAAATTTTAAGTTAACTTGAGAACGGGAACGGTAAGGAGATAAATTTTACTATCTGCCTGAACTCGGGCGCGGTCCTTTCTCTTCAGCTCCAACTTAAATTTGCTTCTTTTAAGTAACTGGACGACTTGGGATAGTCGCAAAAAGTTTGCCAAAGACTGCGAAGTCTTTTTATCAGCGACGATTTCATGGACGTCGCCGTTGTCGGATTGTAAGGTTCCTAGCCTGGGACCAGGCACCACAGTGAGGAAAAGAAGAAAAAAAGGAAGAGAAAAATCGGCGCGCGAAGCGAGCGGAGCGAAAGTCTCAGGAGGGAAAAGGGTGTTCCCAGGCTATAAGGTCCGTATTGAAGGTATATACCTCATGACCGAATGCCATAGAGTCTCCACCCCACATGACCCCACTAGTAGCTACAAGTGGGTATAGTAGCTTTAGTAACTGTGGTAACTGTAGTAACTAGCTATATAGTAGCCGTATTAGCTGTAGTAGCTATGTGGCATTCAGCCTTGAAGTATATGTTGTAGTTAATTTTTTGGCTCAGATAATTTTTGTTTTTCTATTGTTTTTGGGTATGGTAATGTATGTTAATCAGGTTGCAACGAAAGAACATAAAATTTGCTGAGATAAAAAATTCAGCTACAACATATATATCGACAGGAGCGTCCATCATGGAACTAGATGGGAAATATGGTTTTCTGTGTGGATAGGATTTGGACATGATAAGTTTTGGGGCTTTCGTGATGTGCTGAACACAGCTGGCTGAACATGCCGCAGAAATCTGTCCCATCATTAGCTAAGTCTCGGGAAGCGAAATCACAGCAAAGCTATGCGACAAACACAAAGGTCGCTTCGGTTATAACATTTCTATCGATCATTCTCTCATTTTTCCCTTGCCAATGAAAATTAACGGCTAAGGGTGTAAAAAATGAAAACACACAGACTTGTATCGTAGGGCAAATAAGGTTGGCGGAATCACAAGCTATTTAGTCGCTTTGCATTTGATGCCGTGTATCTAATTTTGGACTTGGCGCTTCATTCGATGGAGACGCACGTTTTGGCAAGAGATTAGTGTATGAAAACGGCAATGTAGGGATGACTTGAATAGTTTTCCTGTACAAAAATGTATAACGTACGTCGCACGGCAATTCAATTTTAGTGCGTCTCTCAGAGTACATAGCTCATGTTCCTCTCTGCGTACTATTTGCAATATTTCTTCGCCTGTCAGACAAACGTTGTTAACCAACTAACCGACGTGCTTTATTTTTTGAACATGGAGAAGTGAAAGATTTGTCTGTGGAAAGTCTTAAGTGGGAGACGAAGAAAGTGTCAGTAAACAAGGACATCATACCTATTTTTCCAGATCTCTGCAAGCCAGTTCCCTTCAAAGGGAAAAACTTTTTGTTTTCAAAGTATGGTTTGAACCGACTTGAAATGGAAACTTCAAGAAATAGTTTCCAAAATTAGACTGCATGACTCAGTTGCAATCCGAAACAGTGACAATAAACAAAAAAAAGCATAAGTGGCCATAAAAAATTCGGTCAAGCACACTATGTTCTAAATTCGTGATTTGTCTACACGCACAAGCGAAAAAAAATGGCAAGAAAAAAATACTTTATTTAGGAGTCAATTTGTTAAGTACCTACTGTAAGCACTAATTTAGGGCAATGCATTCATTTTGCGGTCATGAGATTTTGCTTCCTACTGGAAACAAGACGAAGGACATTTCTGTGTGCTCAACCCTCTGTGCAGCACCAGGCAAGCGCTTTGCCAGTTGAGAGCTAAATCCTGCCGCGCTGGGTCATGAAATATTGCTGTTTTTTTTTCTTTAGTTTCTACACTTACTCACCTGCCGCCAAGGCAATGGAAGCTCCAGCAATTAAGCATATGAATGGCAACGAAATTCTGGCCATGATTGTCGTGGAAATATTTTTTTCTGAAAGAAAGAAGCCGTTGACAGTACGGGTAAATTATTTGATAGCTCATTTACACAAGTAAAATGATTTTATTTCAAACCACTGCATGAAAAACTGTAGACTGCGAACAAGTTCTCCTGGGGTTCCCGGGGTTACGGGGGTGGAAGAGGAAAGAGGGGATTGGTTAGCGTTAGGGTTAGGCTGGTTAGGCTTAGGGTTACGCCCCGCCGCCAGAGGGCCGCGGGAGAGCTTGCTAGCAGACTTTGCGTTTACATGTATTTTTCCAATTGACACTAGTTATCTGGATACCAAGTACTCCCATGTCCATGTTCAGAGCTCATGGTATACGGCCCGTCTTGGTACAGTAAACATCGGTGGCGGAAATTTGGCACTTTAATACCCGCTTTAATAGCCAAGGAAAATCAAGCAGGTTCTTATATGTGGGTTACAGGTAATAAAATTACCGTATTTCCTCGAATAACAGCCTGGGGCGATTATAAATTTTTTCGCGCCAAAAGGGCGCGATTATTCGAGGGAAGTGGTTATTTCATATCATGCATGCCTCGCTGGAAGTCGTGCACTAAATATTTTGCTTTATTATCCCATTACTCCTCAAAAATAATCACATCAAATAAACTGAACATGGGCTTTTTAAGTCCAGTTCTAAATTAGTTTCCTTCATTAATTTTCAATTTCAAATTCCTCGGTGGCAGGAGAGCTTGAAGTCGTCACTGATCATTTTTGTAACTATTCAGTTGTAAACAATCAGTAAATGAAAGCTTGTTTGTTATCTTAGGTCAGTTAGGTGTAAATTCTACCTTGACAGGGAGGAAATAAAAAAGAAGAGAAGATCATGTCGCAACGGGTGGGGGTGGGGCGATTATTTGAGTGAGGCAATTATTTTCAATTTTTCCTTCAAAGGGAGGCGATTATTCGAGGGAGGCGATTAATCGAGGGATGGCTATTATTCGAGGAAATACGTTTTTACCATGGAGTTTGACTTCGAGTTACCATTGATATTACAAGAAGATACCGGACCAAACAGTAATTACAAATAGAAGTATTACTGTAATTCCTACAACGAAAACAGGTTTAAGTAAAGCAAAGATTGTAATTGTCTTCATGGACCTTGCGTTAAGGACTCAATAAATATTGCATAAGTTTCTTTATATTTCTGGTAGTTAACAACTTTGTCTTCTTCCTAGAAATTAAGAACCTAATTAAGAACCTAGTTAGCCCACATTGAAAGCCGAAATAAAAGAACCTTTTTTTGCCAGACCTCAAAAAATGTAGTTTCTTAAAGGTGAGTGTTTACTGTAGTTGTGAGTAAAAATGAAACATTCGGAACCCTTTGAGTTTCAAGTGCGTAGACAAGAAGAAAGAAGATTATTAGAACTAGGACAATAGCAGTGATTTTTACATTAGAATATGGCCCTCCTGTACTTGTTAATCTCTTAGAGACGACAAATCAATTGTTTATCAAGTGCTCTTTGTTTTTGCCGTAAGTACACTGTGAGACACTGGACTCAATATGATGCTTAAATGAAGCTCACCAGTCGAAAACTGTTCACTAAGGGATGAGTGTTACATGCATATTGCTTAACCTTTCAATTGTATTGGTAGAAGAGTTAAGTGGCCGGTATTAACTGAATTTTTAAAAAGCTTGTTTGTTATCTTCCGAAATAAATCTAAAAACAGGTCGATTCACATGAAAATGTCTTTATTGAAATCCATATATATGGAAATTTTACTAACTGAAAGGCAAACTGAAATTACCACATTCAAGACAGTGATGGTAACTGGATATGATGTCAGGTGACGACATGCTCGAAGAAAAACAAGAAGAAATACTTATTTGGTGCAACCTATTCTGGAGTTGTTGTCGTTTTTTGTAACCGACTGAAACGTTTAAATTCGAACTATAAACGGAATTCCAAACAATAAAAAAATCTTGCATTTATGTATTTTGAGGGAAAATGATGATTATTCAAGTATATATATGTAAAAAAAAAATGGATTATTCAAGTATATATAATGAAAGATCGCAAAATGGACTCATCGTGCGGTGGGTGGATAAATGTATAGAAAGCAATTCAAAAGCCATAAAAATTACAAGTTTGCATACACGTAAATCTCTCAAATAAAAGCGATTGATTTCTGATTAGAACCCGGCAAAGCCAATATACACTGAATGTGTCCCTTTGCGGATACTCTGAAAGGCTTTTATTACTGGCGTAATCAGTACCTGTAACTCGACCCTGAACTATTCTTATAAGGCTGGTTATTCTGAGTGGTTATCAAAAAGCCTCTCTGCTAAATATAATACTGTAACTTAAATTTACCTAATTTTCTGTCCTTTTCTTTTTCGAAAAATATTATCCTTTTTTTCCCCCTCTGCTTCCTATCGTCCCGTAATAAGTCCCAAAAGAAAATGAAAAAAATACTTATTTAACTGAAGTTTGTGGAACGTTTTATTAGGCTTCCAAGCAGACTGATTCTTAGGGCTTCGAAGGGAAGAAAGAAAAACACGACGTCTAAGAACGTCTACGTTGGAAGCTGGTGGTATTATGGGACGATCCCGAGTTTAGAAGGCCTCTACTTCTCTGGCTTTAAAGTTTCCATTTAATAGAAAAGAACTGATTTGAATTTTCTGAATTACCGACAGAAAGAAATGTCGTCCTTGGAGACCAGAGTGTTAGTTATAGACAATATCATGCTACTCATCAAAGTGAACAAACCGACGTCTTTTATGGAGTGATTGGCACCATTCAAGGTACGGACATAACTTATTTAACCTAGAAAATGGCCCAGAGACCCCGAGCCAAATTTCTGGAGCGATCTTATCTTATTATGAATTTCTCGTCCTTTAAAATGATGACTTCTCTTTTCCCATTATTTGTGCGTTGTCACTTTTGTCCCTGTAATTAAAAATCTACCGTGGTAAACCGTCAGCATGACTTATTTTTAATAAGAAATTCTCAGGAGGCAAAAGATCAAATGCTTTAGAAAATAAGAAAGTTTAAAAGCAAATGTCTTCTCTTAATTTTTCATTTTCGCAAGAGACTGACATATAATTGATTCTGCTGGTTTTATATTTCTAAAGGAAATTGTAATAAAAACTCGAAGAATCTGGGTGAATGCGTTTAAGTTTAGTGGATGTTCAACCGTTGGATGCTCTTCGATAAGCAATTTGATCTGAGTTACTGAACGATTAATAGAGACCTTTATCAAGGACGAGAGCGACTACGAGTACGAGATTTGACTCAAAGTATTTTCGCGTATTCTCAAAATATAGACTCTCCGGAAAGCTTCATTTTACCATTTTTCACTAGAAAAGTTAGCACTGTTACCTTAAGTGAGGGAGGTTATACCCTCTCCCGGTCGCAAAATGATAAAACTTCCAACCTTTGATAACTCGTTTTCCCAACTTCGACATTCTCGCTAAAATTCGTAGTAGAGTGACGACGGCTTCCACGTTTTCCCGCCAAAATGACGTTGGTTCACGCGCGAGCACTACTTAGTACTGAGAAAATCTCGTACTCGTAGTCGTACTCGTCTTAGAATTTAAAGGTCTTTAATAAAGAATAGAGAAGGTACCCAGGCAGATCTATGGAATAAATGGTACTAACGAACACGAAAAACAAAACGAAATAAAACAAAACAACAAAACATGCATATATATTAATTTTTAACATATGTAAACACGTATGGACTCTTAAGAGTAAAAAATTCCGTAGTTCAGTCGAGAGCGGATCTAGCGCACAGTCTTGTCGTAAGCCAAAAACCAACTGTTTCTAACGATCGGCTGGCCTCTCACTTGGCTCACTAGTAGCGCATTAGGTAGTGGACTGTTATGTCTGTATAATATTTGCTACGCTTACCCGCAGAAACGAACAAACTGTCAGGCTAACAATCTGTTCTTGCTATGGATCAGGAAGTCAGGGCTGACTCAATATTGCAAAACGTAGACTATTACTTATGGAAAGTCGAGAAAAATCCCACTTACCTTTTTCTTGGAGTTGAACACGATGATATGCGGTGACTTGTTTGGATCAGAAAAATGAGGCGTTAATCCTTTTTACGTGGTTGACAGTTTGCTTTACATGTGATTGGCTACAGGAGAATACAACTTTCGTTATATATGAAACAATGCTCCGCCCAAATAGGGCAATTTTTGAAGGTTCTTATGGCGACAGCATGTTGTTAATCACGCAGTTAATACCATGAAATGTATGCATATCAATTTCTACCCTGCATATATTAAGGACTTAATAACTTTGCCCAAAACGGTCTTCTCTCTAAGAGGAACTGATATATTGTCATTGTGCAGACCTGCTTCCGCTTCTTATGGTCTTCCCAGTCTCAGTCACCCCTCCCATCGCACAGAATATAATGCCTATTGTCTCGGGACATTTACTTCCAGTTCAACAAAGTTCGTAGATCTGTCCATCACGCGCACCCAAGCATTGCCGCTATGAAATATGATGAAGGTGGCAAACTAAACAATGACTATAGCACGCTCTTGTTTTCTCCTTCTAGCTCTTTGGTTTTGCAAAATCGGTCATATGAGCATATTTCACACTGAACGTTAATAACATCACTTTGTTGTATTTTGCGGGAATTTCCATTTGTTTCAGCGCCTTCGAGATTTTGATTATACCGTAAAAGAAACTCAGTGCTAAATGAAAAAATTCCGCGAAGAACCGGTACAAGATAAGAGTAATGTTTTCACTGTGTTTTGCCTCTCTATTAGAAAGATATTGTAGCTTCCAATCTTATATTATTTAAATGGTGGGTAACTGTAAGTTCACTTTTGGCAATATTATGTAGCTCAGACACTCAGGTAATCCCGCTCTCTAAAAACAGTGCGCGCATAACAAAATGCGACATCAACGCCATTCATTGTTCAAAATATTCCAGTGTCAGTCATTTGACAGAATTCAAAGCACTTCGGGTGGGGCGAACAGAAACCTTTTCTTGCATTCCCTGGCAGGTGCATCCATATGAAGCAGTAAAGGTTGGACCAGGTGTGCTGTGACTTCTGAAAAGAGCTCCTGGTCCAAATCATTTGCAATTTGCAGCTCATTATTATGCGTAAATGTCCGGCCATTCTGCGCGATCTTTTAAGTATTTTGCCCGTAAAACTTGGAACCTGAGAACATTAGAACGGAGTCCACTCTGGAGTGGTTTTAAACGGAGAACCATGTCCTTTCAACCATGTTAGCACTTAGCACTAAAAGATATTTTTCTTTATAAATTGATGTGAATGCTACGCGCGTGATTAGGCGTTGCCTATGATCTATTGGGTACAGATACATAGATGACGTCACAGGAAACTTGTAATTTTTTTTTGTTTTGTTCAACATGGCGCGCCGTTTTGAAAATGTTTGTGAGATTTTTTCGGATTAAAGCAAGTGAAGGCCTGGAAAAAAGTTTAGTAGGAGCTATTTACAAAGTAAAAAAATAGAGACAAAAAGAGCTCTTGACTACTTGAGAATGCCTAAACTACAAGAAATCTTCACAACAGTACAGTCGACTCCCGATAACTCGAACCTTCAAGGGAAATTGAAAAAAGTTCGAGTTATCGGGAGCTCGAAGAAAATAGCCGAGAGTAAGGTAAAAACAGTTTTTACTGCACAGTGAACATTTTAATCACATTTAATTGTAGAAATCTCACGTGAAAATTAAAAGATACTTCTAGGCTATAAATCAGAACGCAACGCAACAAAACATAGCCTAAATAGAGCATGCGTTTTACTGTTTTGAGGTTCGAGTTATCGAGGGTAAAATTATATGGAAAATGACCTGAGGGGAAACGAAAATTGGTTCGAGTTAGTGGAAGTTCGAGTTATCGAGGGTTCGAGTTACCGAGGGTAAAATTACGGTAAATGTATGACGGAAATCCAGGGGAAATCGATTTTGGTTCGAGTTAGCGCGAGGTTCGAGTTAGCGAGGGTTCGAGTTATCGGGAGTCGACTGTAGTTGCTACCGTATGTCACCGCTACGAGATACTCGCTGTTTTGCAAAATGTTTTCGCCATTATTCTGCTTGAGCAAGAAAAGACGTTGAAAAACGTTTCGAAGAAACTGTATTCAAGTAAGATAAAGAAAACCAGGAGAAGCAGAGACGAAAACTGAGTAGCGCCTGGGACTCAAAAAATGCCTACACTATCACAAATCCCGCTCGAACACTCACGCGGTACGAGGCCGTATTTATTTGATTAACCACCTTGGGCGCTTATTAAATGTTTAGACCCTGAGAGTGGGCGCTTATTCGAGGCTGGGCGCTTATTAAATTTTCACCATTTTCAGCAGAGTAGTATGTTTATTTTGCAACAAAACGCGAAGATGTAACAAAGCAAGGTTTCTGTAAAATACTCTGAAGAAGACCATGTCTTCAGGAAAGTCTCTTCTAGGAATTTTTCAATGTACAATCTAATAATTAATAATTACTCAGTAATGTTATTCTATTATTTATCATTTTTTTCTTTTCTCGAAGATATTAGCTTTTGAGCTGCTCTGTAAATTGGAGGTAAAATAAAGTCATGTATGTATGTATGTGATATTTTTGCTGCTTTTATTTCTCATTCGCATCTGGAGTTAAAGCTACGATATGGAAAGTTACAAGTCAGGTGAAATAAATCGTAAGAGGAACCAGGCACGTAGCCAGGTTGTTTTAAGGGGAGGTGCGATCCAACGAGGAGACGGACCAAATGAGGTCGGAGGGGCAAGTCTCTGGGGAACGCAACCGTCGCACCTCCCCTCCTTACCGCCCTGGGAACGTATAATTTCTAGAGGTGGGCAAACACTATAAGGCATACACTCAGTACATGACAAAGATAAACTTGCTTAACTTTTCACTTAAGTTGTGTACATTTATTTATTTCCTAAAAGATTACTGATTTTTTTTCTTCTCTACCAAAAAAAAAAAGGCTGACTTACAGCATGCAGCTGCTTAATTTGACATGCAACTACTAAAAAAAAAACTCAATCATGCAAACCCCCGCGTGCAGTGCAGTGTTTAGAACACTAGTTTGAACTACTGGACTTGGGAAATATATCTAATATACTTCTTCAACATTAACATCACTGACTTACGTCCAACAGCGTCTAGTAACAATTCATGTGTATCTCTTTCTAAAGAAAAAGACGCGGGATTGGTATGTCCCTAGGAATTCGCCACTTTAGTGAAGGAGAAAGAGACTGGGCAGAGTTAACTTTCGCAAAGACGTCAGGGACTGACAAGGGGCAGGAAAAAAAAAAGGCCAATAGTTGAGGCACCCCCGCCAACTATCCGAGAAACAATTGCGGGACGCTTTCGGTACCAATGCTGTGCCGTTATCGTTTCTAAAGAGAGGAATGGGGTATGATTTAAGATACTTATTGAATCTAAGGCATTTTCATTGTTATTTCATTTGAGTGCGTTTTTATTTAACACTTAGGTGATACATCGTTAATAATGTACAAAACATTAAGTTAATGTAAATATCAAAGCATTTTTCTCGAAATAGTGTACTGCCACGCAACACAAGCTTTGACTCTTCAAACTCTTACCAATCAGTATTATACCAGCGAGCTTTCAAAGCGTTTAGTAAAACAGCAGTGTATTCGGTAATAAACGGTGGAAGTAACAACCTCCAGCTTTTGAAGTACTAGTTTTTGTAATTGTGGCTGTCCTAAGATAAAGCTGTGAACTTTATATTACCTCTTAACTAAGCAAACCATTAATATAATCTTTTGCTTATGAATGTCTGTGTAAAGATAAGGTATAAAATGAACCTTTTTTTAACTTTTTTGCGTAGCTAACTAAGATATCAATTAATTCGTTCAAGTACCAGCAGTTCAAATATATGACATTTCATATATCTACTTTCATATCTTCATCTTCCGACGGGTAGATACAAACGTATTTACAAAGTAACTAACTACACATTTTTTTAATAGCTCAGTGGTCAAATTCTGTTGAATAGCTGTTGAATATAGTCCTGTGCCCCCTTCCCCCGAACTGTGCAGAGTAACACCCCCTACTCCCCATTTTGGCAGAGGACCTGGTCTGCCGAATCATTCAAGGTTGACAGAAAACTGCTAGGAGGAGGAGCACCAAAAGCAAAACGACATTGGGTATTTTAAGAGCAACGCCATCGCCGATCTGTGTCGAACCGAAGCTAGATTTCACTTTACGGCTGCCAAGGCTCTGAACTGGGCGGTAATTGTCGACAATGTTCATGCTGTTGTTCATCTTCAAGGAACGCAGCTCATCCATCTGTAAAGAGAAAAATAAGATGGTTTTGTTTCGCCAAAAGAGGAATCCTCTCCCACCTGTTTTGAGGTTAGCACCGAAACATAAGAGGTTGTCTGAATTCAAGGACATATCCCAAGGAACGTTGCAAGGATAATTCTCTTTGTGAGGGCGTATCCCTTTAAACTCTTGCAACATTAATTGAAAATATAGTAATAATTACCGTATTTATTCGAATAAGCGCCCATCCTAAAGGCAGAAAAAGTTAACAAGCGCCCAGCCTCGAATAAGCGCCCACCCCTCCTCCTCCCAATCAAACTCAAATAAGCGCTCACCCCCAACCCACCCACCTGAGTGAATAAATTCTAATAAGAGACTTCCCCGAGGACGGAGTTTTCTTCAGAGTATTTTACAGAAACCTTGCTTTGTTACTTCTTCGCGTTTGTTATTAGCATTTATTGTTTTGTTGCAAAATAAACATACTTCACTTGCTGAAAATGGTGAAAATTTAATAAGCGCCCAGCCTCGAATAAGCGCCCACTCTTAAGGTCCAAAAATTTAATAAGCGCCCAGGGCGGTTAATCGAATAAATACGGTAATTAGAAAATTACGTGGATGAGAACAAGTAACACAGAAAAAAAAAATTACCTGAGCCTGTGAAATCTCAACAGGATCGTTGAAAACAGTCCAGGTAACAGCTTCATCGCAGGTTGGCGTTGTTAGCGAACCATTGTACCGATAGTACTTGGTCTGGTCGGTTGGAAGGAGATTTACAAGAGGGAATGCTGGAAAGCTCACACTATCACCTGTGAAGCGGAAGATAAACAGTGAATATCACTTAAATTTTTATATTTTATATTTTTTAAATAATGCGCGCGCTAGACATTATTTTACATCATGGATGTTTTTGTGGTAAAAGACAGCAATTTCAACCGTGAAGGATAAAGAAAGGCTCGACACTAAGGGCAAGCCCTAGAAGCACATTCAGCTAGGGGGCCACATACTGAACTGTTAGAACTTCCCTTCCGTACAAAAAAAAAAAAAACAACTCTGACACATGCTTTAAATACATGTAAAAAAATAAAGAATTAAATACAATAGAAGAACCTATGACACGTCTGCAGTTTTTCGAACCACGGCTTGCGTTTTATCAAATATTAAATTTACTGCACAGTTTTTAAAACACGCAACGGCTCTCTGACCCTCCTGACCTGAGAATGCTGGCAAAACCACTTACCCTCCTTCGTTACATTTCTGATATGATCCAAGAACATTTGATAGTACTGATTTTCGCTTGAGCCAACCTAACATCAGTTTAGAAAGCAATAAGAATAATAACAATAGTTAAAAAGAAAAATTAGGGCCTTGGTTCACTTAGGATTTCACACCTTTTGACATGCCTCTATACTTCTCCTTTTGAAGTACAAATGTTTGATTTTATACTGGTGTCTTTACTAGAAAAAAACAAACAAACAAACAAAAACGAAACAAAGTAAAACAAAACTTAAATGCCATTGGAAAACTCTAGCGATTTCTCTATGATAATGAAATTCTCTTTGACCTTGCAAGTGTCAACACTCAGCGAAACCATCTTTCAACGTGATTGGAGAACCACTCCATCCATTCAAGGTAAGGTGGACATTTATTACACGTCTTTAAAAACGAGTCTGGGAGTGAATGGGTTTTATGAAGAGGCAAACATGTTTACCTTAAGAAAAACACCCAGCACGGCCAAACCATCTGAATAACCTAGGGACTCACTGAGGGTGGAGTATTTTGTGTTCATGCTGACAAAATGGAGCTGCAAATTGAAAACAATACATATATATAATACATATAGATAATAAGTCATTACAAGTACGGTTATAGGAGTGATGGGATAAGGGCACCTTAATACTAACAATTTTTTTAGCCCTGTAACACTTGATTCCCTTCGCGGGACATTCTTTTAAGGGATCTTAAATGCACTTTCGCCCCATTAATTTTGGTGGCGAAATAGCTGGTTACTCACTAAAGTTTTGTAACACACCAAACGTAAAGTATAAGTTCACAGTAAAGTGTGTAAAATGATCAATTGACACCACATCGATAAACACACCTCGGCAGAAAACTTTTTCCCGTCCAGGGTATGTTCCGATCCTTGGCTGTTGTTTGATCCCCAGTGCAGATGAAACTGAACGGTGGTGTAAACACCGGGCAGGCCACCTCCGCTTACGTTGTATATATGGCTGTCAAATGACACTTTCAAAGAATGACCATTGTTTGATTCTGTAAAATTGACACCAGCTGGTGTATTGGCGTAGTTGACAAGTGTAAAATCACCCAGGCTTGAGTCATACATGGCTGCGGTGGTCCTTATGTCTATGGGCGACTGTTTACTACCGGATCTGCAAATGCCACCCCAACTGCTGGGTCCTAGAGAAGAGTTAGAGGAACAATATAATATATAAGTGATCATACAGTTTATCGTCAGGAAGCGAGCGTTCCCGTGCAAGAGGGCCTGAAATTTGGAGTGGGATTATCTTTTCTTTCGTGTTAGAATGCAAAATTAAGTTCTTGATCCTAATTAATCTGGGTTCGTACGACAAATCGAAACGAAAAATCCGCCAGATGAAGTCTTTGATTTAACCCAGCCATCAATATTGTTAATAAAATTTTCTTACTCAGAGCCAAAGCAATTTTTACCAACATATTTCGACGTTATCATGGTTATCACAACGTCAGTCTCCATCAGTGGGGTACGTCGAATGTTCGATTCAACTGTCGCCCAGATGATGATCCTGAATCACGTGACCATTTCAACGCGCAGGTCCTCGCCCCATTCCTGTTCAGTGTTGGACTTAAGACAGAATCCATCAGGAAATCGAGTAATTTTAATTTTCAGTGGACAAGAACCTTGTACCAGAATATTTTAAACAATGTATATATGTTGCCTTCGTTTTTTACATTTTTCAAGGCCTATAGATGTAATTAGTTATCTGTAATAACACCAAAATAAAATTTCTTATGTGAGCCCGAGAAAATAATTGTCAAATTTTTCAGAATGACATCTTACACATGAAAATTTCAGAATTTTACCTATGTTTTCACAATTCTTGTGAAATTCGGCAATTACGTTCTTGGGCTTCCATGAGAAATTGTCCCTGGTGTTATTACAGATAGCTAATTATATCTATAGAACTTAAAAAGTGTAAAAACGAATGCGATAGCGCTTAAAATATTCTGGTACAAGGTTTGTGTCCACTGAAAACCAAAATTTCTCAATTTCCTTCTGATGGATTCCGTCTTAATTCTTTGTTCTTTTCCCGAATTTATCGGAATTCTCGCGCTGCTATGCAGGCTACAATTAAAAACGAGAAAACATACCATCAGCAGCAGTTACATCATAGCTCCAAACTAGAAAAAAGATAAAAATTACAGTTAATTCTGTTTGACTAGCAAAAAATTAATTGCAAATCAGACTTTTAAAATAGCATGAACAGATAACACAATTCCAACAAGAAATAAACGAACTTTGGTTAACTGCAGTTAAAATCTGAGCGTATGTTCTTTGTTTTAATACACGGCCCATAATCTTTGCATTTGCATATTAGATGTGTTCAATTCATTTAGAGCGAAGAGAAATGCATGGCAATTTGTCGCATGGACTGACTAGATTTGCAAAAGAGTTGGGCGTTTAGTGCTTAGTGTCTATGATTAAAATTTAGTACTGATCAATTAATCAGTGTTCGCGGTTAACTTTCTGTTCAAGCACTTACATCAAAAAAGCGTTAAATTTATTCTTTATGGTTTGTTCCAGTAGTAGAACGAAAGATTTATCAGAAAAATACTTTGGCAAGATAGCCTTTGCTTGAACAATCAAACCAACTGATATTCAGCAATATTCGAGGTGCATGACTCACGACTCTGACGACTGACGACTCACTAGAGAGCAAGATCCTCCTCGGTCAAGCAAACCCAATTCTTGTCCAAAAAAAGACTGAGATTTGTCTGTACTCACACACACAAAAATCTTGTCTAGGAAAAATCTACTCTATTTAAGAATCAAGATAATTATTCAAAATATAACATATTAAGCACCTAAGCACCTAACTGAGGGAAATTCATCATTTTTTTCTGTCTCCTCCTGGAAACTGTACGGCAATTTATATGTGATCGTTTCAGAGTGCGGTGAAGCTAAGGTTTAGCCCTTTGAGGGGCGTCCTCTTTTAGTACATATACGACACTGAGTATTGATATGATCCAGCCCTAGAAATTGAGCAAGACGACTTCCCGCTCAGCAGACCAGTGTCCCGTTTCTCGATAGTCCCGGTAACTTTTCGGGCCCGAAATCAAATATTCAAATCGAAATATAAATAATAGGAGCGCCGGTCCTGGCTTACAAACCACTCCATTTTGTTTCATTAACTGACAGTTTTATCATGTTAGATGCAAAACTATTGAAACCTCAATCTTTAATGTAAACGGAGACAGCTTACCGGGCCCCTTAATTATCGGGACTTTCGAGAAACGGGCCCCAGAGCTCTACTGACTAGGCTACAATCCTGTCACGCTGGGTCTTAAAATGTTGCTTGTTTTTGGGGTTGAGTTCTTGCACTAACTTACCTGCCGCCAAGGTAGTAGAAACTCTAGCAATTAAGCATACAAACGCGAACAAAATTCTTGCCATGACTGTCGGCCGTGATTTTTCTGAAAGAAGAAAAAACAGAATTGACAAATGCTTTTTATTTCTCAAAGTCATTCATTATTCATGAAGACAACAGCCAATAAATGAGGCATATTTGGATCACATGCATGAACCTTGATACCCAATGAACATTCAGATGAAAATCTTATGGGTTTTGATCTCAGATCAAACACTTGCATTTTAATGAGCATTTTTCAATAATGGTCAGACACCAACCAGCACACCAAAACAATTAATCATGAATGTCAAAGTAATGTTACGTAATATGGCAAGATTGCACCGTTGCATAAATTGTTGTTCTTTCATTTGGGGAGGACAATAGCAAAAAAGGTATTACTGCATATTTTTTTATTGTTTCGTTTGAGAAGTTATCTCGAAACAATAAAAGCACTCGGCCTGCGGCCTCGTGCTTTCATCTGTTTCTCAGTGTTTGGAACCCCTGATGAAACCCTCGCACTCGTTTTGATATATTACTTCAAACAGTCCCATATAAAACTGCTATAGTCCACTCCCACTGTTATATTACGTACTCTTCCGTGTTTACACAAATTTTCTCCTTTGTCACCAGTTACCTGAGTGGATACCGCGTGCTCTCATGCCAGTTTTCAGAGTTCATGGTATTATTTGCGCATGCTCAGTTGTCTTTGTGGATGATGAACATTCGGAACCCTTTGAGGTACTAATTAAAAGTGTTTGGATCATAAGCAAGAAGCTTTTGTTACAGTCAAGAGAAGGGAAGTGATTTACATAAAAAAAACTGATATTTGTTTTTAATTTGATGACCCCCTCTGTACTTATTATTCTAAGAACAGCACGTGTAAATTGTTGATCAAGGGTTCTTTATTTTTAGCTGCAAATACAAACAGGCTTAAAAATTGTCTACTAAAACATTAAAGTTAGTTACGTGCATACTGCCTCACTCTGCAACTGTATCAATAAAAGAAATTTGATAAGTTTTTATTTAATTGAATTTTTCCGAAAGCTTGTTTCTTATCTTCCGAAATGAGTCTAAAAATAGCATGTCTTATTTCTATGAAAATGTCTTTATTAAAACCAATATATATGGAAATTTCACTTGCTGGGACGTACAAAATTTTAATTACCTCGTTCAAGGCAGTCCATGATGAGTAAGATGGGAGATTCGAACAACCTGCACTGAAGCATTGCCAGCCTGATTACGTAGATGCACGCAGAAACAAGCTAGAACTTGAACTTCTCGACAGATAAAACAACAAAGGTGATCGAAAGTTGAAGAATAATTTTTCTGGAGCTGTTTTTTTCTAACCGACTGAATCTTTTAAATTCGAGCCATAGAATCCTTCACCCACCTAAGCGGCTGGTTCGAGGTTGGTCGATTATTCTGATTATTACCTGTGAGGGGAGCCGGCCATTTTGCTGCGGGAGATTTTCAAAATCTTAATTGGCTTTGGGGGGTCATTTTCAAATAAGAGAGCGTTATCTGTGGGGATCATTTTAATAACTCATAAGAAAAAGCTATATGTAAAAGCAATATCTTCTTTTTAAGAGAGCGATTGTTGATAATGTTCTTCCAGAAAGCTGAGACTACTGCAAGCGATTATCCTGCAAGGTCGAAAGGAGACGAATTTCCAGTTCAGTGTTTTTCCTCCCATTAAGATGAAATACAATGAATTGACGACTCATTCTATTCGGATCGATTATTCGTAGAAGTTGTTACCAAGTGCTTGGTTGTCCGATCATAAAACTCCAGTACTTAATAGTATAAGTGTTTATGAGCCGTATCTGTTTCTCTTCCCTGCCTGGACGCTCCCTGAAGATCGAAACGATATGAGACGGAGATAGTGATGTTAGCAAAGCGTCCACTGCTTTAAGCCGCCTCAGAACATTTGGCAAAAAAAAAAAATCCGTGAGCTCCAAATCGAACATTATACATATTCAGTTAGGAAAGACGTATCTTTTTGGGTGCTTTTTGATGTTCACAACTTTGTTCACACTCTAACCTGCGATCAGGCGCTCCTTCTTCCCTTTTTGTGTTGGAGGCCGTCAGCCGACTTTCTCACTTGAAACCATCCCCCACCCACCAAAAACAAACAAACAAACAAAAGCCTGATCGTAGGTTGTTCACACGTACCAACGAGCCAATGATCAAATTCTTGGGCTCTTGTCACACCCTAACAGGAACGTGACTCATTGCCAGGATCATTAGAAATATAGTGGGTCACCTTTGCTCTAGCTATATTGTTAAACTTTCCAACAATGAAGTATGTGTGATCGGAATAATTGAAATGCTAGTGAGTTATATATGATACTCGTGTTGCTTCGTGCTGCTCAATAATAACATTATAAAAATGATTAAAAATTGCGTTTTTGTACGTGGGGTTCTTACTAAAATTTAGCGTTTTGTATGACCTGAAACACATCTTATTTTAATCGGCAAATGTCAAATGTACTTGACAAAAAGCATCTATAATGCTTCTGAACAACCAATTCGATTCTGACCCTAACTGTAATACTCAAACAGGACATTGTTTGGTGTTTCGTAACTTGAGCTTGGAGCAGCGTATATAAGTAAACTTGTCAAGTATAATATTGAATTTACTGATGCACATCAATAATCAGTGGTGAAAAGTCGTATAAAAAGTATAACGTTTGTTATATTCATGATAACAGTAGAACGAGTCTGAAGGTAATAGCAGTAAACACTGATCTTTAAGGCGACTTTAGATAAATTGTGTAGTGAATACGATTTTTAGCTGTATGTGATATTTGTGTTACTACAGCCCCTCTTAGTG